TATCTATCTATCTATCTATCTATCTATCTATCTATCTATCTATCTATCTATTTATCTTACAACATAAACGCAACTTCAGGAATTGAAAGATTTTATAGTGTTTAAACTTTAAATGTATTTTTAATCCTTTTTGTTTTTTTAGTTCTTGCTCTATTCTCTCTAACTGTTTTATATTGTAGCCCTTTGAAAATCCATCCATCCATTTTCTTTTACCCGTTTATTCCATTTTGGGTCACGGGGGTCGCTGGTGCCCATGTCCAGCAATCACTGTGCGCGGGGCCGGGTACACCCTGGATGGGTCGCAAGTCCATCACAGGGCCACATAGAGACAAACGAGACAAACAACCATTCACTCTCTCACTCACACCTAGGGACAATTTAGAGTTACCAATCTGCCTAACATGCATGTTTTTGGTCTGTGGGAGGAAACCGGAGTACACGGAGAAAACCCACGCATGCATGGAGAGAACATGCAAACTCCACCCAGAAAGGCTCCTGGACCAGGGTTTGAACCAGGAACCTGTTCGCTGAGAGGCAGCAGCTCTACCAGTTGCGCCACCGTGCTGCCCGCCCTTTGAAAATGAAAAATGTAAAGTACAGCACAAATTCAATAAACTATTATTATTATTATTCTGGGGCTTCGTAAGATTAAGACGCAAGTGGTGAAACAAAAACAGTTAATGTCTTATAAATATGTCACTTGCTGTATACACATTTCTCTATAACTGTTGGAGCTTATCACAGAAGAACACAGTTTACAAATCATCAAATGAGAAGGGGTCAATAAACTGAAAACACTGATGACATTTAAGTTTTTAGTTCTACATCATAATGTGTTTATGGCAAAAAAAACCAAGAATAATATTAACAATTTTTTGGATTAGTTTAAAATCTGTTGAAGAAAATAAACTTGGATTGTTAGAATGGAGAAAATCACAATGGTGTTTGGTTATTTCTTCAAATAAGTTTTTGATGAAAAGTCACCTTGTCTTTTATTACCTATTATTTTTTATAATAAACTTGTAGTGTTCAGTTGTGTCATTACATGACAAGTGCCACAAAACTCTACAGGACACATTACTTAGTTTGACTGATGGTAAACTCGAAATTCTGTGGAATTAAATGGTTCTTTGAGCTTTCATTTTTCCAAATCCTGTTCATTTTAAGCAGCTCACTTGTAATTATGATACACCGATTAAGAAATATTAAGAAAAGCTCCGAGGCGGCAAGGCTCTGGGGGTGGATGAGATTCGCCCTGATTTCCTAAAGGCTCTGGATGTTGTGGGGCTGTCTTGGTTGACACGCCTTTGCAACATTGTGTGGACATTGGGGGCAGTGCCACTGGATTGGCAGACTGGGGTGGTGGTTCCCCTCTTCAAAAAGGGGGACCAGAGGGTGTGCTCCAATTATAGGGGCATCACTCTCCTTAGCCTCCCTGGTAAGGTCTATTCAGGGGTACTGGAGAAGCGAGTCCGATGGTTGGTTGAACCTCAGATCCAGGAGGATTAATGCGGGTTCCGTCCTGGCCGTGGAACACTGGATCAGCTCTTTACCCTCACTAGGGTCCTTGAGGGGTCATGGGAGTTTGCCCATACAGTCTACATGTGTTTTGTGGACTTGGAGAAGACATTCGGCTGTGTTCCTTGGGGAACATTGTGAGGGGTGCTCTGTGAGTCTGGCACTGGGGGTCCTGTTATTACGGGCTGTTCAGTCCCTATACAAGCGGTGCAAAAGTTTGGTTTGCATTGTCGGTAGTAAGTCAGACCCCTTCAGGGTGAGAGTTGGACTCCACCAGGGCTGCTCGTTGTCAACGATTCTGTTCACAACTTTTATGGACAGAATTTCTCGGTGCAGCCAACGGGCTGAGGGTTTCCAGTTCGGTGGCCTCAGGATTCCATCTCTGCTCTTTGCAATCGATGTAGTCCTGTTGATGTCATCGTGTCGTGATCTTCAGCTCTCACTAGAGCGGTTCACAGCCGAGTGTGAAGCAGTTGGGATGAGAATCAGCTCCTCCAAATCTGAGGCCGTGGTCCTCAGTTAGAAAAGGGTGGATTGCTCTCTTCAGGTCGAGGGTGAGGTTCTGCTTCAAGTGGAGGAGTTCAAGTATCTCGGGGTTTTGTTCACGAGTGAGGGAAGAATGGAGCGTGAGATTAATAGACAGATTGGTGCAGCATCTGCAGTATTGCGGACTCTGTATTGGTCCGTTGTGGTGAAGAGAGAGCTGAGCTGTAAGGCAAAGGTCTCTGTTTACCGGTCGGCCTATGTTCCTACCCTCACCTATGGTCATGAACTCTGGGTAGTGACTGAGTGAATGAGATCATGGATACAGGCGGTTGAAATGAGTTTCCTCTGCAGGGTAGCTGTACTCTCCCTTGGAGATAGGGTGAGCAGTTCAGTTATCTGGGAGAGACTCGGAGTAGAACCACTGCTCCTCCACATCAAGAGGAGCCAGTTGAGGTGGTTCAGGCATCTGGTAAGGATGCTCCCTGGGCGCTTCCCTAGAGAGGTGTTTTGGGCATGTCCGACTGGGAGGAGACCGCGGGGAAGACCCAGGACACGCTGGAGAGACTATGTCTCTTTGTTGGCCTGGGAACGCCTTGGTGTCCTCCCAGAAGAGCTGGAAGAGGTGGCTGTGGAAAGAGATATCTGGACTTCCCTGCTCAAGCTGCTGCACCCGAGACCAGACTTCAGAACAAGAGGAAGATAATGGATGGATTAAGAAATAAAAACCCAATTGGTTTGCTTCTGTTTTATTGTGATTATTCATTCATTTTTAATTCAAAAATTGAAACCATGACATGACAGGCACTGCTTTCTGACAAGCGTAACATTATCAGTATCACATTTCTTTTTAAAGAAGCATCAAGTGGGATTTTATGACATCTAGTGGCAAAGTTGTAAACAGCAACCAACTGAATAGCCCTTATGTCGCCTCCCTTTTCAAATGCACCGATTTAGATTAACTGTTTGCATTCTCTGTTGTACAATAATGAAAAAGACATGACAGAGTACCAAAGTAAACACAGAGACCCACATACATGGTTCTAGAAAAAACAAAAAACAACGTTGTGAACAGTATGCTTGAAAATAATTCCCCATAACGTCATACAAATTGTACTATATCATCATTGTGATAAACTTCCTTTTTGTGACAAACACAAAAGTTTTTATATTTACGTCTTTCCCACTTCTGCTTACACCACAAGTGTTGACTCAAACGTCATCTAACTTTAGAATAAATCAAAACATCCATCGTTTTATGAGTAAGGATCACAAAAATGATGAGAAAATCAACATAATAAATTGTATTAGATAACAAAGAGGAGGCTGCAGTTTGCACTTGTAAGCTCTGCTAAAAGGGACTAGTTTGGTTTCAGTCTAAGAGCTGACTGTGCATGTTGTTGTTGTTGTTGTTGTTGTTGTTGTGATTTACTCCTTTGACACAAGTGATGCGAAATTTACATAACTCCTCTGTTTTGGCATCACCAAAATGGCCTGTCCATTTTTGGTCTCATCTTTCGCAAGCTCCAGGAAGGCCTCAGCCACTTCAGACGTACTGAATAAAAAAAGGACACGAAAACACACAATATTAGTTATAGTCATCGACGTGAAGAAACGAAATAGTTTCTTTAAATATTTGTGGAACTCACAATATAATACAATTTCTAAAGAAGTTGGAGCTTTGTGTGAAATGCAAATAAAAACAAAATGCAATGATTTGCAAATCTTATAGACCCATATTTTATTCGCAGTGAAACATAGTTTTAATCGTTGATATCTTTACTAAGAAACTGTACAAGTTTTAGAAAACAATAGGGTAATTTGTGAGTGATGGCAGCGACATATCTAAAACGTTTGGACTGACTGTAAAAGTAAATGGTCTAATTAAACAACGGGAGGAGTTTGTTAAACTTTAGGTTAATTGGCAACAAGTCAGTAAAAGGACCGGGTGTAAAAAGAGCATTTTTATTGAAGCTGAATCTCTTGGAAGTAAAAATGGGCAGAGGTTTCCTAGTCTGTGAAAATCTAAAACGGTTTCTAAATATTGTTCCTCAATGAAAAATTGGGAAAACTTTGAATATCCCCTCATCTACATCTTATCCTTAAAAACATATAAATCTGGATACATTTCTGTGCACAAAGGACAAGGATAAAAGTCCACAATGGAAACCAGTGGTCTTCAAGCCCTCGGGTTGCACTGCATCAAAAACAGGTCTGACAACGATTTTCCACAAATCATTATCTGTAAACGCAGTTCATCGTGCCATCCACAAATGTTGCTTAAAGCTGATTGAAAGAAATCATCAGATGCGAACACCATCCAGAAATGCCGTGATCTTCTCTGGACCAAAGCTCATTTAAAGGGACCGAGGCCAAATGGAAAACTGTTCTGTGGTCAGACAAATCAAAATGTGAAATACTTCTTAGAAACATGGGTGTACTTTGTACTAAAGGGTGAAGAATTACTCAACCTGTAATTAGAGCACAGTTTGAAAGCCTCTCTGATGGCATACCATACCATACCATACCATACCATACCATACCATACCATACCATACCATACCATTTTATTTATAAAGCACTTAAAACAGCAACAATGTCAACCAAAGTGCTTTACAGTTAAAACAAAACAAGCAAAGGACACAGGATAAAATACATAGATCCAAATAAGTAAAGATAAAAACTAAATGATTAACATTATAGAATACAGACAAGTTAAAATCAACTCACACATTGTGAAAAGCCCGGGAATAAAAGTGAGTTTTTAAACTAGACTTAAAAACAATAAGCGAAGGAGCCTGTCTGACATGTAGTGGTAACTCATTCCACAGTTTTGGACCTGCAACACAGAAAGCCTTGTCACCTCTGAGCTTAAAACGAGTGCCTGGAACCAATAAAAACATCTGGTCTGACCTCAGAGAGCACTGTGGGGCATATGGCTGCAGCAGATCAGCGAGATAAAAGGGAGCAAAACTGTTCAGAGATTTAAAAACATACAGAAGGATTTTAAAATGAATTTGAAAGTGAACTGGGAGCCAGTAAAGGGAGGCCAGAACTGGAAAAATGTGCTCTCTTTTGCCTCTACCAGTTAAAAATTGGGCTGCAGCATTTTGAACCAGTTGTAAACGTGCAATAGAGGTCTGACTGATTCCTAATAGAAGTGCATTGCAGTAATCAAGCCTGGATGTTATGAAAGAATTTATAAATGTCTCAAGGTTACTATTGGACAGTATGGGCTTCGATTTAGATGGTCGACTCAACTGGGAATAAAAAACAAACAAACAGGCTTTAACAATCGTGTTTACATGACTGTTTAGTTTCACGTAAGGGTCAATGTTCCTTGTTTCTCTAAGGGAGTAGAGAGGAAAGGTCAATACAGTGGTTCTTGATTGTGCCATTAGGTGGAAACAACATGACTTCTGTCTTCTTCTCATTACATTTTTAAAGTATGGGTGTGGATTAGTGCGTATGGCATGGGCAGCTTACACATCTGGAAAGGCACCATCATTTTCAGCAAGACAACGCTAAACCTCATAATGTATCCATTACAGCAATATTTACAGTTAAAACATATGTTGACTGTTCCAATAAACAAAATATGGCTTTATAAGATTTGGCAGATCATTGCATTCTGTTTGTAGTTTAAATTTTACACAACATACTACGTTTAGGGGAATTGTTCTACATTTAATGTATAAAGCCTTCTGCGCAACATACATTTAAAAATAATCGAGAAGACTAGAGGCTTGAATATAACTTTAAGAAAACCAAGACTCACGATAAAACTCCCATCTTTTCCTTCATCTGTTCCAAGGATTCACCCAGGGCCTGGAATTGTCCCAGTCCATCGGGTATTTTCAATAAGAGATCCGTCTGCACGAAACCCGGGCAGACGGCGTTGAACCGGATCCCGTAACCCAACTCCTCAGAAGCACCCTAAACCAAAACACACACAGACGACAAAAATGTTTCCTGTGTGACCCTCATCTCTCTGAGGGGAATCTCACAGTTACTGGCAAAGAATGTCAGCTGTTTGTTTAAGCAGCGGTCCACGTGTTTAAATATTCAAATTATTAAAACGAATTAGAGATCTGTTCCTGAGAGGCACAAATCTACTCTTCTACTTAAAGTTCTGTGACTATAGCTTAATAAATTATTTTATTTAGTGATAGTTTTCATTTCAACCGACTCGTGGAAAGAAGAGGAGAGAAAAACAGTGTCCAAGAAATGAAAGTTTAATGCTTCTGTTGTGTTTTTTTACAGTCAGACCTGCTCGTCTTTTCTCTTCATGTGACGCTTAGTTTCAGATCATTTCTGCAGCAGCTTGTTTTGATTTTTGTAAAAACAGAAAAAAAAAGAAGAAGATTCCTCACCGCCATGGCTCGAGTGAAACCGACCACCCCAAACTTGGCAGCTGTGTAGACGGGACAGCACGAGAACGGGCCAAGACCTTAGAAATATGTTTTATTAGTAAGAATGATGATATTTATAATTTTTATGACTTAAATTATATCAAACTAAAAAGAAAATAGCTTTCCTTCTTGTTGCATTCTTTGCACAGCTGCTGGTTTCAGAACCAAAGCAGCTTTTAGTCAGCATCTTGTTGAGTTATGTGGTTTGCACTGACTCAGTATGTCTCTCAGTTTGTTTGTCTGTCTGTCTGTCTGTCAGTCTGTCAGTCAGTCAGTCAGTCAGTCAGTCAGTCAGTCAGTCAGTCAGTCTGTGAGTCAGTCAGTCAGTCTCTCAGTCAGTCGCTCAGTCTCTCAGTCAGTCTGTCAGTCTCTCAGTCAGTCTGTGAGTCAGTCAGTCAGTCTGTGAGTCAGTCAGTCAGTCTCTCAGTCAGTCGCTCAGTCTCTCAGTCAGTCACTCAGTCTCTCAGTCAGTCTGTCTCTCTGTCAGTCTGTGAGTCAGTCAGTCAGTCAGTCAGTCTCTCAGTCAGTCTGTGAGTCAGTCAGTCTCTCAGTCAGTCTGTCTCTCAGTCTCTCAGTCAGTCTGTGAGTCAGTCAGTCAGTCAGTCAGTCA